CTAATTTGGGGGTCGGCTTATACACAGGTGCGGCTTATACACCAGAATATACTGTACTCCCTAATTTTGCAGCCTTGGTTCACCTTTGTAAATACAACATTTGCCTGTATGAAATGTACAGAGGAAGTGGCATGGCTTCACTACATGCTTAACTATGTAAATCTCAATGTTGACCCCAATTTCCTATCCCACCACATGTTTAACAGATGTTCATAACATAGTGGTCAGGTTCCGGGCTTTTTTTAAAAAAAGGATCAAGGCTTCAAGTATGACTTGCTCTGATTGGATAATTGTCTCATTTAAATAAATTAATATTAATTAGGATTTCTGGTTACTTGTACTGAGTATATAGTGTGTCTCTTTGTATTGTATTATTCCTAATGATCCTTTTCATAAAAGTGCAACATAGAATTAAATGGCCTTGTCAATTTTTGAAGTGACATTTATCCAAGTAAACGTCTGCTTGTGTCCTAGGAAAAGCAATTTATTCACATTTCCCCTTCACCAAGGAGTCTACTGCATAAGTGGATACCTGGTAGTTTTGAGTGTCAATGCGTTATTACTGGCTGCGACATTATGGATTACCTATTTCCCTAGGGAGCTACCTGAGTACTGTGTGTTTTGTACGTGGTTGATCTAATATACTTTATTCCAAAATTTTGTAGAATCTCAATAATCAACTGGGGTAATAATGCTCAGAGTGTTTGATATGTGCATACAGAGAAATCAAATCTGTTTGTATCAATTTCTTTACATACATAAATTTACTTTTTGTAAAATTTGGTAAATCATTTTTTATTTGCAAGCATGCTAAAATTAAGTTAATTACTTACTTATTTGTATGACAAATCAAAATCAAAAACTATATGTACAGTATACTACAGTATACTGTCATGACTTTTTATTCAATAATAAAGCTAGTACGTTTTTTTTTTTTCAAATAGTATTAATTTTTCTGAAGAAAGAATTTTACCTTCAATGCAAGTTGGTAAATGTGTTTTAAAGTTTACCAAGATAATAATAAAGCAAACCAAAAAATATATATAGTGAACCTTAATTTGTAAGAAATTATTACAGTCGACCTTCCCATTTACGTACACCGTGGGTTCGTAATTGAGAAAATTCGTAAATGAGAAATTCGTAAGAATAGCGCCCTCAAGTTTAAAAACGCCAGGTTGTAGCCTTTAATTAGGCCTGCCTACCAACATCTAGGCTTAATTTTGCATTTAAGTGTTCAATAAACATTTATAGAAATCGTTGAAGAATCAATTAAATGTTACTGCAAGACAAACTAATATATATTAAATATCGATTCATAATAGGCTAAATCGTCTCATGGATAGACCGACCTAATCTTCCGTGTCACTAATAGGCTGACTGTTCAACATACAGTGGTGGTTTAGCCAAGGTTAAGCTGGACCTAGCAGAAGCTCTCTGCTAACTTTAGCTAGCATCTCTCCGTAATTTGTAGCAAATTAGTAAACAAACATTGATATTAATTAGAGGCTTATTATTTACTTAATTTAGTCAAGATATTTTTGTATAATTTAAAAAAAAAACCGGTTCCTATTTTTTTCGATCTTCCTGACTTCCAAACATGTGGTTTTGGTGCCTGTACAGTAGCATTGAATAATGGGTAATTGCTGATGTCATCTTCTAAATATAGAGCAGCTTGCTATCGTTTTTTGACAGTGAAAAACAAATAACATAGATGCTTATTGAATATCCGAACAGTGATTTATTCTTAAAAGGATAAAAGGTTGATGTTACCATAATTTATACTCAAACTAGCTGATTCGATTTACAGTGCATTTAGACCGCAGGTAACCATAAGACAGAGTAGGGTAGGCCCCCTGGTATAGGCTGCACTTAGCCTAGGCAAGGTAGGCCTAGCAGCATGCACTGCCTGCCTGAATTTCGGCTAGTTTTGATTATTTTACATCATGTATTGGTTTGACTTTTCTAAGCCTAAAATAGTATGATATATTTATGAAATGTACTGTATAACTAGTACTATAATGCATTTTTTAATGACCTTTGTAATTTGTTTTTCTTAAAATAAATAAAAATAGCAAAAATTAGACGAATAAATCTAACGATGACGTCATCGGCCGAACGTTCGTAAAATAGAAGGTTTGTAAATGAGAAGTTTGTAAATAGGAAGTTCGACTGTATACAGATTTTTAAAGATTTAAAACAAATCATGTCAAATTACTAATGAGAACAATAGCCATGCATATTCAATCCTAAAAAGAGAGAACCAAACACCAACACACAGGTTACAATAGTTCCTGGAGGAAGGTCAAATGAACAGAACAAAACCACAGGTAGTGTTTGCTATCCCATGAGTCATTAGGACTGGCTCCCAAAAGGACCATATAGAAATTCAACAACAAAGAACCATTTTAATACAAAACAGATTTATTTATTTTTTTCACCATTTTTTGTCTTTATAAATAAAGTGTCTGTAGGAGTTGTGTACAGTTCAGTATTAAAAGTTTGGTAACAGAATGTTTGCAGACTTACAAGTGCATTAGTTTTTGAGTATACTGCAGATTGACCAGAGCCATGTTGCATAAGTATTGAAATGCTTAGCATTTTGTTTTTTCGTTTGAATGTCAATGATGTATGGGGAAAAAATGTTAAGAAATATTTAAACATGCACTAGGACTCTTGGTCGTGTCAAGTGTGTAAAAAATCCATTTGGCCATTTCTTTTGGAGAATTTAATCCACTGGAAACAAAATTTGGTACAAATTTATATTAACTATATGTGGTTAGCTATTTTAGCTTTCCAGGCCTACTTCCCTACAGTTGGAGTACAGTAATGACATCACATCACCATTGATTTGTGTAATTTGTGTCTATATTTAGCTACAGTGGGTTGTGCTATCCAAACAATACCGGGCCATTTAAACATCAGTACAGACAAAATTAGCTGACAGGAAAATCCCAGTTTCGATATTGTTCATAATCTGCATTGTGAAATAAAACATTTCATATTTAAAGGGACATCTATAAATAGACATTTTTTTATTAGATTTTTCACATGTTTATGAGGAGAATTTAAAACTAATTTTGATACACTATGTATCTAACAGATCATAATTGATAGAGCAAGAATATAACACCACATTGTCTTTACAGTTGTAACTCCTAAAGCCCAACTTAAACAGCGTTGTACGATGGAGCCTGAAGCAATTAAAAAAATCGGGGACAGTTTTTAAGTCATGTTTAAATTATTAATATTATACAACTCGACTGTCCCCGATGCAGGCCTACTGTGTCAGTGTTTAACTCGCACAGATTTGACAATACAGCAAATCGATTCAGGCTGCATTGTTACTAGATACAAGATAACTTTATGTCAAATTAAAATTTGAAATTATTTTTTCTCATGGCAAAAAAAGTTGGACTTAAGCGAGACCGACAAGAGTTGGGCTTAAGAATTAAGTATAGGGCCCAAAATTGCATTACCTCGTCCAAGGAGGTTATGTATTCACCCATGTCTGTTTGTCTGTCTCTCTGTCTGTTTAGCAAGATTATGCAAAAACTAAGAAATGGATCATCATAAACTTTAGTGAAATGGTTTACTAAGAAAGAGATATTATTGGAAAGAAAAGGTCAAAGGGCAAAACGAAGGCCACAAAAATTTGAGTTTCTATCCTCAAGCATTCAAAGATAATGGAATCACCCATCCTATATGGCCTGCGTATTCTGTATTCAGGCACAGGGTGTAAAATAATGGTATAACCCATCTGGGCCTAGGTATGTTGTTCAATATTCAGGCACACGGCGGAGGTAAGCACTTTATAGGTTCATATGGGATTATAGCCAGATGAAGTAGCTGATCTACTTGCCAAGTTAATTGGATTAAATCCACTAATCGCGTTCGATGTTAAGGTTAGAGCGAGATATTTTGACTACCAGAAATTTGGAAAACACATCATTAGACAGGAAGTACAATCGCATGGTGGGTAATTACTGTTGATTTTCGCGCGACTAGTTTATGCTAGATCAAGACTATAGGCGTAAGCTAGGCCTAGGTCTCGGCGGTTGATTAAACTGGCAGGGGAGTCCAGCTGGAGGGTTTACACTGGGTTTTCTCCCAAGTATTTTGTTTAGCGCGTGGTAGTGTGGGCATGCCCATTTCGGGTCATCCCTTATTACATTGGCTGACCCCTTGCCCGTCCCAAAAATAAAAACGTCTTTCACAGCCTTGTGGTCTGCTCTTAGATTTTTCAACTTTGTCACAACAATTGCCGATGCTATGCTGTTGTGGCCTAAGTCCCGCATTCTCTCTGCTATCCTTTCGTGGACACCAGCCTTCTGATGGTACAATTTATCATCAACTTTTTCGGCGATTTCTGGCTCCCTCCAGATATCTATTAAATCACATTCCTGCGCATACATCCAGAGATGGCGTTTCTTTACTGACTTTTCGACCATCATTTGCAAAAAAAGACTTGTTGAAATTAAAGTACACAGATCAGGGAGACTTCGTCAATTCTGAATGGTGTTTATGATAGTAACTAAAAAACGCGCTAACCAGCAAGCATGGAAGGTCAATTTGATTGGTGTATTCGAGACCTGTTGCCACCCGCTGTTTAATTGTTTACTGGCTTTAGGCTGGATTAAAAAGTTAGTCGACATAAATTTACTCGACGGGCTTAGTCGAGTTGTGGCCTTCATCTCGTCATACTTGAGCGGTCATACTCAAACTTATGGCGAGATCTTCTAGCTCATCCACTAAAATTATCTCGTCAGTTGGATATGAACGGGGCTCTTGGGTAACTGCTCTAGAGTACCCTTCATAATGAACAGATAGGTGCTAGTTGATGAGTCTATTTCGTGATTGTGTACCTGGATAAACTGATTAAAGCCTATTCTCTCTCTAGTGAAAACACCCTTATAAAATATAATGGAACAGTCAGATCCTGGCACTATTCATGGATATCCCAGAAACCCTTAACAGATCCTCATTTTTTATTCCTACTGTAGGAGGTGCGGGAGGCAAAGGAACGTGGGGAAAAGAGTGCGATGTTTACGAAGAGAATGACGCAGACTGCCAAGATTCCAATGATCCTAACTACGATTCCGACGCTCAGGTTTGTATTATTAATGGTGGTCCCACATGCTCACAAATGTAAGGTTGCATAGCAAATCCCCATGTGGCTTGTTTCATGAGGATGTTCATACGGATGTTTACATTTTGTCTAAGGTACATTAATAATGATCACAATTTTCTTCCCAAGATGAATGACACAAATATCTGTATGTTCCTGCCTCAGTCCTGCTTAGCACCTAGCTATTGCCCTGTTAGAGGGTGGGATTGTGGTGTCGTAATTTACACTCGACAAGTATATGATCAACACCTTATATATGGTGGTATTCTTTTTTGTGTCTCATATAGTATCATTGTATTCATCTAGGTCCTTCCTTGTTTCTTTTGGTAGTTGCAAGGAAAAAATGATGCATTATTGTTAAAATTCTCATTAATATTTCTAATTATTATTACTTTGCTTGCATTTATTAATTTTTTTCTTTGTAGCCTGGATACAGACTAAAGGCAATTATTCCCACCCTGACTGAAGATGAATTTGAAGTAACTGTCACTCCAATTATGCAAGAGTACTTTGAGCATGGTGACACTGAAGAAGTTATTGTAAGTTTCAGTTATTTATATATCGGTTTTAAATGCAACATTCTGAAGCGTTGATGGAAGGGGGCAGCTGACCATTGAGCAGCTGATCCTCAGTTCTTCATATCTCATCCTTCCTTCAAGTTATAAATTTCTTTGCCATTGTAGGTGCGGCTTTTTATACATGATTGTTTATGTAAATTGGATCATTAATTTAGCCCTTTTTTCACTCTGTGGTCTTGTAACAATGGATTTTTTTTTTTCTTTTTTTTTTTAACTATGCTAATTCTATATTTCTTGCACCTCTATCTATTTTTTGTTCAACTTTATCAGAGCCAATTAAACATTGAATGATAAATGAGATTAATCGGATTTTGTTGAATCATGTGACTGTGCATTAATTATTTAATCTATTATATTTTTGGTGTATTAATATTTTCAGGTATCTCTATTTAAACACTGGTCACATAGCATGATAAATTGTTATGCATAAAATAAGATCCTTGTTTTAAATAACAACATAGAGAATTTAGCTTTCATTGTTTTTGCATAAAGTAGTTCATCCACTTTTTCCTACCAATTATTAGCTACCCTGGAAATTTACTGCCCTACCCTAGATGTGACCTTCCACCATATTCCGAAAAAAATTGGCACATATCCAAAAAAGTGATTCAACAAGATTGTATCATCATTAGTCAGGAAAAGAATTAAGTGCTAAACTAAATATAATGTGTGTTGGAAGGACAAAGGGAATAGAATACTGTATGATAATGTCTACCTGGATTATAGTTTTTTCTTGTTTATTTTTGAAAAGACAGCACTCTGAAATATATATTAGCAAACATGTATCTATCTATTATTTTTGGTTGGCTTCTTTCCATCTTTCCACTTTGAATTCATTTTATCTTGCAACCCTTTAATGTATTTGGCGACCAAATTTTTGGTCATAACCCATAGTTTGAGAACCGCTGGTAAAGTTCATAAAACTAGAAAATTGCAATTTGGTAGCTTGTTTATTATGAGATATTTTATACCCATCTTTTTTTTAAGGCATTTTCTTCATTTTAAATACTGCACTTTTAACTTTGTAATAAAGATACACTTCCACTCAAAATATTATACAAAAACTCAAAAATTATAACTAATATTTGAATTGCCCATTTAAAAGAACCACTTGCAAACATTCGGTGGATGGATGGATTTATTGGCGTAAACACCAAGCATAACCCATGAAAGTCTGAGGAAGAGTTACTTCCAGTGAGGTCCTTCTGGTGGTAATTGAGCAGTACACTGGGAGACAATCTCCTATTCTTCCCAAGTGTGCACTGCATTTTTTAACGTGCACATGGGCCATAATGCACACAGGACCAACAGCTTAAACATCTCATCTGAAAGACAGTGCACTATCGTAACCTGCGTTCGAGCCCTCCACCTGAAATACAAGAAAGGTAGCGTCGGAAATTGAACTGGGGGAACCGGGAGATTTCCACGTCCACGATTCCGCACACAAACAGTGGCTACCACCAGTTTAGCTAACTGAGCTAAACATTAAAAAGTCACATGAAAACAAATTTGCAGATGTTTCACTACATTCTTTAAATTTGTTGTCATAAATTTAAGGCAATATGAAAAATAGAACTGTAGCTATAGTAAAACTGTATGTTTACCTTCCAGTCCCAGGGTCTTATTAAGTTCTTCCTGTTACACTCCGAATATTTTTCTCATGACTGGAAACCACTTGACTGTTGAAGCTCTGTCCTCAGTACCAAATTTTATGCGACAAATTTTGATGTGCCCCATGATGATGTCATATTACATGGCCGGCGAAAGTGGGGGGGGCCGGGGGCCCAGGGCCCCCCCCCCACTTTTTGGCGAAAAATATATAATGTCTTGAGATTTTTGTATGGCTGCTGAGAAAGTTTACCTTACCGTTTTCAAGAGGTCATTAGACACCTAGCTCAAAAGTCGAGAAAAGTCATTTCCCGCCATCTAGAAATCAAAATTTTCCCGGGGAGGAATGTTGACCCCACCACCTAGATTTGATTCTAGATCTGCATGTTTCATATTCCATTCATCTTATAAGCAGTGGCGTAAAAGGCGGGGGCCAGGGGGGCAGACTGCACATCCCCCCCCCTGACGGTTTTTACCGGGCTGATTAAGCCGTCGTACCGAGCTAGGTAAGAAGAGAAAAGAAAGAGGAGAGAGGGAGGGAAAGAGAAAGAAGGGGCAAGAAAAAGGAAAAGAAAAAGGAAAAGAAAAAGAGAAGAGAAAAATAAAGACAAGAATAAAAAGGAAGATATAATGAACAGATATCACAATACCCCGGCCTGCAACCCCATCTCTACTTCAAAAAGTGTCCATATCGCATTTGATCTAAGCCGCCAGGTATTCTCCGCAGTGGTGTAACCACCGGGGAACAAGGGGAAAATATCCATCCTTGGAAAATCTTTCCCCATTGAATGCCCTTTTCACCCGAGAAAGTGCCTGAAAATCTCAAATTTTAAATCCAATATTTTGTTGAGGTAGGCCAATTTCCTCTAAAAATTGCACATTTTAGGGAGTTTTGATCAATTCCGACGAAATTAGAAAACAACATTTTTCGCGCGCTACGCGCGCATTTTTTTTAATGTTAAAGCTTGTGCTTGCTCTCCTTTGCCTTATAAATTATAACACATAGTCCCAAACTCAAGAAAGAAAATTTAAGGATAGATCGTTTATAAAAGAAGGGCCTCAATGTGTAATGATGTTGAATAAATAAATCCATAAGGAAAATGCTTATATTCAGTTCAAAAAAACAAGTGTGGCCATATATAACATAAGAGCATTTCTTGTTGAGGTAGGCCAATTTCCTCTAAAAATTGCACATTTTAGGGAGTTTTGATCAATTCCGACGAAATTAGAATTTAAAAAACAAAAATTTTTCGCGCGCTTCGCACGCATTTTTAAGTGTTAAAGCTTGTGCTTGCTCTCCTTTGCCTTCTAAGTTATAAAACATAGTCCCAAACTGAAGAAAGAGAAATTAAGATAGATCGTTTTACCTAAAAGAAGGGCCTCAATGTGTAATGATGTTGAAAGAATATGTTTGTAATAAATAAAGCCATAAGGAAAATGCTTATATTCAGTTTAAAAGAACTAGTGTGGCCATATATAACATAAGAGCATTTCTTGTTGAGGTAGGCCAATTTCCTCTAAAAATTGCACATTTAGGGAGTTTTGATCAATTGCGACGAAATTAGAATTAACAACACAAAAATTTTTTGTGAGCTTTGCGCGCATTTGTTAGGGTTAAGGCTTGTGCTTGCCTTCCTTTGCCTTCTAAGTTATTTAAAAATGTAATAGAGAAAGAAAATTTAAGATCGATCGTTTTACCTAAATGTGTAATGATGGTGAAAGAATAGGCCTATGATTGTAATAAGTAAAACCACGATGAAAATGCTTATATTTAGTTTTTAACACACGTGTGTAATAATGAAATAAGCCCTATGTCGTATTGTTTTCTAGTGGGTATCACATCAAGTCATAAATTACTAACCGGGAAAATTATTACCTTTGCCGCCACCCCCCTGACCCAAGACCCCTGTTACGCGCCTGCTTATAAGTGGGGGCCCCCCCCCACTTTGAAAAACATTCCACCGGCCCTGTATTACATCCAAATATGGGCATGTCAGCGTTATTTGTCACTCAGGAACAGTTTAGATACAGATTTTGAATATTTAAAAACTGGGGAAAAAGGGGCGTAACCACCTTTTCTTCTGTTAGTTTTTAAATATTCAAAAATCTGAGTTACAGTATTTCTTCTAACACTTTTTTTGAGTCTTACTATAGAAAAATCTATTGTAACAAACAACTCTTTAATCAACCTTTTTTTTTTTTGGAGCCCGGCTTTAATAATGCTTAATGCACTTTCTATTTAATACTTTAATACAATATACTGTATCACAAATACTGTATTTTAAAGTCAAATATTATTCATTGGATTGTGATATGAATTGGAGGAAAATGAGAAATTGCAAATAGGCCTACATTAAAAAGAAATTAATGTTGTTTTTATTTAGTTTAGAAGAAAATTCAAGTCAAATGATTTTTATTTTGTTACATATTTGAAGGTATTTTTTTCTGCTAAATTCAAGATTCAGGATTTCTTTATTGCCTTTAACAATTTTTGTCAAGAACAATACATTTAGAAAAATCTTATAAAAATAATTAAATATTAAATAAATTGGAATGCTCCATAAAAATATAGTTGATTATAGTGTAGTGATTATTATATTTAACTAAATACTAAATATTAAATTCTTCATCAATTTTTACTATATCAATATCCATTCTTCAAGAATGCTAGAATTCTTGGGCATAAATAAAGTCATTTTTAACAACTGCAATTTGGTCAAACATTGCAAACATTTTCAAGATGTTCAATTTCACTGGCTAATGGAATAATGAGTAAAATATTAGTTCAGATATTAGAGATTCAGTTATTTTTGATCACTTTCTCAAATAAATCCTTAAGAAGAAATTAAATATGTAAACACATAATTCCAAAGTCCCTGCTATGGTGCCTTGGTCACAGAACCAATTATTTATACATGTTGTAAACACAGAAGTCAGCAATAGAATATGTATGTATTGTTTCAATTCTTATATTAAAATTTTTGTATATATACTGGGCATATTCGACTGGTTCATTTCATTGACTACGATTTTTCGTTGAGTATTATTTTCAATCAACTGTTTCGTAAAATAGACTTTGTTGACAATGAAAATTAACATAAACTAGAATGCGTTAATCATCGTTAAGTTATCCATGTGACCAAAACAAACATGGCCGATTGCTGAGTTTAGAAACAACATTTGTGTTCATATTATTTAGAGCAAAGTTCAGAAAATAAAAATATAATATTTACCTGACATGAAGTCAAAAAAATTGCAGGCTAACAGAAAACCCATACTGCCACAACCTGAAGCAATCTTTGACTACGCAGCGTGTATCGCAGTTACTATGCAGCCATTATGTTTTGTCGAGT